GCCATGTCCCGCTTAATAGCTTCTCCCCAAGACCTTTAAGGCCTACCTTTATCCCTCCTAATACCCACTGACCTCTCGCACCTTCTGACTGTGGCTTCTATACTTCTCCTCTTAACATACCCGAACCATCTCAACCTTGCTTGTCGCATCTTATCCTCCACATGGGCTACTCCCACCTTATCCCAAATAATTCCATTCTTAATCATATCCAATCGGGTATGCCCACGCATGCACCTTAACATCCTCATCTCAGCTACTATTATCTTCTGGACATGAGGATTCTTAATAGGCCAACACTCGGCTCCATATAGCATAGTCGGTCTAACTACCGCCTTGTAAAACTTGCCTTTAAGTCTCAACGACACATTCTTATCACACAAGACACCGGAAGCGTGCCTCCACTTCATCTATCCTACTCCGATATCCGATATGGTGCGTGACATCCTCATCAATCTCTCTGTTACCTTGTATTATAGATCTAGGGTATTTGAAACTACCTCTCTTGGGGATGACTTGTGTATCAAGCTTCACCTTCATATCAACTTCCTGGGTAACGTTGTTGAACTTACATTCCAAGTATTCCGTCTTGGTCTTGCTCATCTTGAAACCCTTAGACTCAAGGGTCTGCCCCTAGACCTCCAGCCTCTCTTTAATACTACCTCGCGTCTCGTCAATAAGAACAATGTTATCATCAAATAACATACACCATGGCACCTCTCCTTGAATGTGTCGAGTCAATGCGTCTATCGCCAAGGAAAATAGATATGTGACCTTGGTAAAAGATATAGATATGCCGAATTTAAAATGACTTTATTTTAAAATCACGCTATGAATAAAAATGACAAAATGAAAAAGGAAATAAAAAAGATGCGATCAAATCCTTCCTGTAGTGCTCGGCACCGCTTTGACTACTGATTACCATCGTCTTAAAGCTCATTTGGCCAAGTTGCCAATAACTGCTTGTTTTTAAAAGTGCTTTTACAAAATACTCCACTTATTTGTTATCTCTTACGGTGCTGATATTATTTATCCGGTTTATGTTATTGTTACGGACCTTTTGTCTCTGAGCTGATGGTCTCCCAGAAACAGTCTCTCTACCCCTCCGGAGTAGGGGTAAGGTCTATGTAAACTCTACCCTCCCTAGACCCCACTAGTGAGATTACTACTGGGTTGTTGTTATTGTACTTTTACAAAATACTCCCTCTGTTTCAATTTATGTGAACATGTCTGACTGGCACGGAGTTTAAGAAAAAATAAAGACTCTTGAACTTGTGTAAAATGAGGCACATATTTTGTATGACTATAAATCATTGCATAAGGTAAATTGTGTCCAAATATGAAAAGAGGTCATTCTTTTTTACATGGACTAAAAAGAAAATAGGTTCACATAAATTGAAATGGAGGGAGTAGCAGTTTGTGTTTGTCCAACTCATTCACGTAGTGCTTTTCGCAAGCAAATTGTGTTTGGGCAATCTTTCTAAAAAAATATTTCTAAGTATCAAATTAGGAAAAAGAACAGTTTGGATTCACTTCGCAATTAGTACTATTTAAACGAAAAAAAGAATTAAATATTTACTATAAAAAAATTCAATTCAAATATAAAATACAAAAAAATATATAAATTAAATTTTTAATTAATATAAAATATAGTCATTCCCAATCAATAATATTGGGGGTATTTGGTATTATTTGTTATGTACATGATAATTCAAATATATTAAAATACAATATTCAATATAAATTAAATATACTATTATAAATCACTATATAAAAGAAGAAACTACTTACAGTAGAGAGAATATTCTAAAAGAGGGATAGGAGAAGGAACTAGAAATTGTCCGTCCTAAAACTCTCTTAGAGAATAAAAATATGATGAAAATACAAAAGAGAAGAACGTATGGTAGAAAAAAGAAAAAAGAAAAAAGGTTAAATTAATGAGGGATAATTTAGAAAATATAAATTTATTGTAATGATATTTTTGTCCTGAATAAATTAATTTTGTACTTCGGCTTCTTGAAAGAAACTAGAATTTGTAGCTTCTGAAGCAGTAAAACTACTTCTGTTGTTGTTCAAAAGCATTTTTTTTTATTTTGGCCAAACATCTCACAATTCCAAAAAAAGTACTTCTTTGATAGGAAAAAGTACTTTTGACTTCTCCAAAGCTTGGCCTAACAAGCTCTTACAAAAGCTTTAGCCGTGCCTTGCATATGTATTAAAAAATACAGTAAATATTTATAAATATTTGATTGTGAATTCAATTATTATTGTTTTCTATCAAGAATAATAATTACTATTATATATTAACTGAAAGTTGCTATCGAAACCCATAAATTGGATACACCTCTGAACCTCTCAGGCTGCATTACAGCTAAAGGTGTCCTTCAACAATAAACTACTCTAGCCTGATTAATCACATTTGGGAAAGGAAAAAATTAAGTAGAAAATGACATAAAAACAAGAGAAAGGTGTGAAAATGAATGTTATAATGTTGGAAATTAAACCAAGATTAATTATTATTCCTACACCGTCTAGAATTTGGTGTTTACTAGTTTATTTAATTTATGTCTAATTAGGATTCACAACCAAAATCATGTAGGAATAGGTTTTCTAGATTCTATTCAAATCTTGTTTTGTTGTATTATAAATAGGGGTGCTACTACATATTTTCTAGTGTAGAGAGATTCAAGAGTTTATGAGTTGTGAAAAAACTTTCTACCACGTTCTCTCCCGAGTTTAATAAATTTCTTCTATAGAGTTTTTGTTGAATTTTTTGCTTGTGCCTAAATTATTTTTGGGGTATTTCAATCCTTCAAATTGGTATCAGAACTTGTGTGAGATTCTGTTAGAGCCTGTGTGAGATCCAAGAAAACAAATATGGATACTCTATTACCTAATTGTCCCATTTTTGTGTTTGATGGCAAAAGTAATTTCAAAACTTGGTATCAACAGATGAAGAATATTTTTAAGGCTATTGGATTATGGTCCACCATTGATGAAGGATTTGAGGAACCCTCGAAAGGTGCAACGTTGACTGGTGATATAACTACGAAATTGGAGAAGAAGAGACATTTAGATTATAAGGCACGCTACTATCTCGCTATCAAGGTTGAATTGCATGTATCTAAAAAATATTTGCATACAAAGTCATCAAAGGAGGCTTGGACAATCTTGGTGAAGTCATATCGAAAAGTTGCTGAAATAAAAAAGGAGAAACTGCAAGAGTTTAGGAGTCAATTTGAGTTGGCTCGTATGAGACCAACAGAGTCTATCAAAGAATTCTTTACAAGAATTGAAGAAATAGTCAATGGTCTAAGGACCAATGGAGAAGTATTGGAAGAAGTTAAAGTTGTTGAAAAAATATTGCAGTCTCTAAGTTTAAAGTTTCACAACAAGAAAGTTATTTTTGAGGCTACCAAAGAACTTAGCATGCTCAGACTTGATGATTTAAAAGGTGAATTGGTGACATACGAGATATCAATGAATCAACAGAAAGATGAGACATTGGAGGAGGCATAGCAAGAAAAGGATGATCAACCAAAAGAAAAGGAAGGCACACCAATAATGGTGGAAATAAATCAAGAAGGCCAAAATTCAGAAATAAAGATGAAAATAAGAGAAGATACATGTAATTTTTGTTGTGATAGAGATTCCATTAAAAGCGAAGAAAAGTCAAATAATGTTCAAATTGATATGCCAAGAATTTCTGCGATTGTTAAAAAAGACGATTTGGTTGCAAGAGATACCCGTCCAAAAGAGATTGGTGTTTTACAAGAAAAGTTATTTGATGGTATTGAAGATGAACCTAGTAACGAAAAAAGCAAGATGATTCATCAAGAGAAAATTTATGATAATCTACCCAAGACTGAAGCAGAAATAATTTGGGATTCAGAACTACAACACGTGATTATAGATATTGAAGATGTAATCAATTTCGTGCCATTGTTCGAGATTGCATGTTTCAAGCAAGAGGAAATGTTTATTGGTGGCATTACTCTACATCCTATAGAATGACAAATTAGAGTTGATTGATTGTACAAGTCCAACTATAAGGAAACCAAAAAAGTAGTTGATTTCAAAGTGAAGGAGAAATATGTTGATATTTTGAAGGGATTTACCATGAGTAAAGCCAAATCATATAAGAGCAATATTCAAGATAAATTGAAGTTGACTAAAGATGACACTCGTGATTTTGTTGATGCTACATATTTTAGGAAATTGGTGGAGAGTCTAAGGTACTTAACTTCTACAAGGCTTGATATTACTTATGGAGTTGAATTAATTAGCAGATTTATGAAGACTCCGCGACAATCCCACTTGCAAGCAGCAAAGAGATTTTTGAGATATATTCAAGTTACGCAGACTGATGGTATATTTTATTTAAAGACTAATGATAGTAGTCTTGTGGGATTTACAGACAGTGACTGGACTGGTGATACGATATAAAGAAAAAATACTTCTAGCTATGTATTTTATTTGGGTTCTGGTGTATTTTCTTGGTCTTCCAAAAAGTAACAAGTTGTTACTTTATCAACAGCTAAAACAGAGTACATAGTTGCAACAAGTAGTGCTACACAAACATTGTGGTTAAGAAGCATGCTTGGATTTCTTCAACACAAGCAAGACAGTCCTACAATAATTTTTTGTGACAACAAGTCTGCAATTGAGTTAATAAAGAATCCAGTTTTTCATGGGTTTAGCAAACATATTGATATCAAATGTTACTTTATTCGTGACTTGGTTCAAGACAAGAAGATAGTTATTGAATATTGTAAGATTGGAGAGCAAGTTGGTGATGTTTTCACAAAGCCACTAAGATTGGAGTTATTCATCAAGTTGAAGAAGATGTTGGGCATGATCAAGTTTGAATATCTTGGTTTAAGGGAGGCTGTTGGAAATTAAACCAAGATTAATTAGTATTCCTACGCCGTCTAGGATTTGGTATTTACTAGTTTATTTCATTTATGTCTAATTAGGATTCACAACCAAAATTATGTAGGAATAAGTTTTCTAGATTCTATTCAAATCTTGTTTTGTAGTATTATAAATAGGGGTGCTACTACATATTTTTTAGTGTAGAGAGGTAACTACGATATAGAGAGATTCAAGAGTTTTTGAGGTGTGAAAAAGCTTCTTACCATGTCCTATCCCTAGTTTAATAAATTTTTATTTATAAAGTCTTTATTAAATTTTTTGCTTGTACCTAAATTATTCTCGGAATATTTCAATCCTTCGTATAAACACAAGATAAAATGACATAAGCACAGCACGCGTGCGCGCGCGAGAGAGAGACGAGTAGATCATAATATTGCCTTCCTTAAACTCAATCGAATGGAACTATCACCAGCGTAATAGAATTCAAAGGGCAGAAACACTAGATCTGGACAATAATATAGCAAGAGAGAGGAGAGAAAAAACCTAGAGTACATCGAGCAGTAACGACGAAAAAGCTGTTGGTTATAGCGATTAGTTTCTTCACTAAGCATAGGGTTATGCCAATCTGACTCATACTCGTTGAAAGGTTGGTAAAAATATGGTAAATCACGGCATTCCTTCATCTTCTATCGCATCATCTGAATGCAGCTCACTTTCATCTCCTCCTCCTTCTCCTCTCTCATCTCAGCAAATTTCTAGGAGACGAGAACCAAAAGGAATTAGAGTCCCTTCTTTTATAAGTATCCCGTGGGAGGACTTTAAAATTTCCTCAACTTTTGTTGAGCGAAAAAGAAGAAATAACGCAAATACTGAGTTTATTAAGGAGTAGATCCCTTATCTATAATTATTCACATAAATAATTAGTGGTTTTGGTTTATTTTAAAAATAGCAGTTTATTTTTACAGTTGTAGCATATCTCAAGATTATGCATTAAATAACAATATATTTAGAAAAACAAACGGACCCACAAATTAAGGGATTAGTTTTTTAAATCCTTTCACTTTCTCTCACATCTTAGATAAATATTCTTGGCTGAATACATACACAACCCCTTAAACTTGTCGTTACAATAAGGAATATGCGTGTCGTTCAACCTTCGGTGACATGGCAAAAAACCAATGAAAAACTGACGTGTGGCTCTTTCCCAGAAAAAACTTTGAAGCAATGTCCTTTTTAACTGTTGAGCATTAAAAAGGAGAGAACAATTCTGTATTTTTTTTCCAACTCTATTCCTCTGTTCATCTTCTTCCTTAGTTGCTCTCAAATCTCAAATTAGTTTATAGCTTATTCTTTAGCTTATAATTTTTTTCTCTATCGTCATCTTTCCCACACAAATTTCATTCCCTTTTTAAGACTTTTCTCTATTAGACCAGATTGAAGATTATCTCCGCCGGGATCGTCGTGTGTTATTCACCAAATTATGATCAAGTTCTATAGATTCTGGACAAAGTTTTCATCTTCTAACTCAATTAACAATACCGTGTTATGGAATAACAAACAACTAATTAAGAGAAACACTTTTGGGAGTTAGTTTTTTGTGAATAAACCAACAAACCTCACATCACCAGCCCCAAAGAGAACAACAAGAATTTGTCAACAATTGTGAAAGTAAAACGAAAATTTAAAAGTGTGATGAGCTGAAATTTTTTCTTTCTTTATTGCTAGGTGTATATTTCGCATTCTCTGTGCAACTTTGTGTGCTAGGCTTCTGTTTGTGTGTTTGTTTTAGTGAAGTTATGGTATTGAAGAGTGAGGACTAATGGTCATACTCATGTTGGTTTGTAAGTTTTGAGAGAAATTTTCTGTTTTGAGAAAAATAAAATGAGAGCAAGAAGAGAAAAATCAATGGGACTAGTCGTGCCTCTTAACAAAAATTAAGGTTAGTTTAAGTGTCTAGGTAAAAAAAAGGGACAAGTTAAGGGTTGTCTATGTATTCTGCCAATATTCTTTCAAATTCTCCAAACCTTTACCACTGTTTTTTCTTAGCCACTGACTCGACAATTTTCATTCACTTACTTTCACTTAGGATTCGTTCAATTTTTGCTTAGTATTTTTGCAATATTAAAGATAACTTAGATAATAAAAACATAAACACGACTATTATTAATATAGTATACAGGTATTGTTGGAATTATAATAGTTACAAATAAAATGCATAAAAAATGTATCCGAAACATCAAGATATCATTATAATACAATAATTATACCATATATTATATTTGTATGGAACTTACATGATGACGAAAGTACTGTCATGGGCTGCTTTCCGGTCACGCCTCATGACCCTTTGGACGCGCCCCGTGACGTCCTGGCAAGCTTCTCAACGCCTAATGTCATGGTCGGCCTCGTGGTCTCGGCAGTGCCAAGTGACAAGCGTGCATGTGCCTCTATCGCCACAACGATAGTCCTTGCTAGCGCCCAGCGGCAGGCGAATACCAACAGTGTCGAGCGCACAGACTATCATGCTGCCAACAGTGCCACGCACGCAGATCCGATGACAAGCGCCAACCCAGCCGCAGGCAGATTCAAATAGTGTTGCGCGCGCCGATCCTGATGCTCAGACAAAGTTGCTGCCAAACGGACTTGTTTCTACCTTGTAGAAGACTAAGTCCTTTTTATTGTAAATATAAATTAGTTTTACTTCATTTATGTTCAGTGTACTCCTACAGCTTTTATAAGTCAAGTCATGTAACTTTGGTTTATTTTTTTAAACATTATTAGGGGGGATCAAGCAATCAAACTTTCTAGCAAGCAAATAATTCCTTGTACTGGTGTCTCTCCCCCTCGACACTGCGTTGCCTTTATGTAATAACTTTCATTAATGCAATCAAGCTTTCTTTCAGTTCTCATTTATGTTCTCTCAATTGCTCTTGACATTGGTTTTCCCATACGGCAATGACAATCTCGTCTAGCGTACGGAGGGGACTTCAGTTGGCGGACACCAACTACACTGACATCAGTTGCTTAGCCTTACGTCACCCTTCCAAGGAATCTTAGGAAGGCGCCGCGTAATAGTTGGTATCAGAGCCTAGGCTCGATATCAGACGAGGGAACACATTTCCATTACCACTATTTCTAACCATGGTGAATCATGGGGACCGCATTGCGGCTCTTGAAGAGACGGTTGACGTATTACGGTCCATCGTAGATATGGTGCCTGATCTAAGAACCAGCCTAGTGCAAAGGTTGGACGACCTGGACCGCAAGATGCGGCATGCCGAAGTTGACATAGCAAACATCAGTTACGACTCTGAGAAAGATCGGCAAACTGCAGCCGTAGAGGCAGCCGAAATTCATGGCAAAATCGAGGACCTCCAGTAGGAGCGTGCTGAGGATTTAGCCCATCGGGAACTAGAGGCAAACAGAATGACTATCATGCAGCAAACCATAGATAACGTGATATGCCAGCTCAATATTGTCAGTGCTTATCTTCAAGGCCTGCTTAGAGGAGACGAAAACCAAATCAGAGGTGCCATGAACATCGCACATGTGCCCCAAAAGCTGAAAATTTAGGAGCCAAAGCCATACAACGGAGCTCGGGATGCAAAAGAAGTGGAGAATTTCATCTTCGACATCGAACGTAGAACAGTTGGACGAAGCCAAAAAGGTAGCAATTGCTGCCATGTATCTTCAGGGTGATGCTAAACTCTGGTGGTGAGTGAAATACGAAGCCATTAGGGTCGATAAAGATACTCTCAACACATGGGCAGAACTGAAGGCAGCCACACGCCTGCAATTATTCTCCGAAAACGTGGAATACAATGCACGGAGAAAGCTGCATGAACTCCGCCAGACTAGGTCAGTGCGAGATTACGTGTGGGAATTCTCCGCACCCATGCTAAACATACAGGATATGGGGACAAAGACAAACTATTTGCATTCATAGAAGGTTTGAAACCTTATGCTCGTATGGAACTGCAAAGACAAAGGGTAGATAACCTACCCAAAGCGATCCAAGCTGCGGAATGCCTTAGGGATAATCATATGGAAACTCAGAAGGATAGGCTCCAGCCACTTATCCGAGAGGGATACAACGGGAGCCAGCCTAGCAATAGTGGCCCTAGTAGAAATAGAGGAGATCGAAGTGCATCCAAATCTAAGACTCCTTCCTCAAGAAGCAACGGTGTTGCATCAGTCAACAACAATCAGGGAAGAAAACCCCCATCAGAATGTCGTCGAGGACGTTGCCAACTCAGGTGGGGGAGAATGTCATGGGTTGCTTTCCAGCCACGCCCCATGACCCCTTGGACGCACCCCGTGGCGTCCTGGCAAGCCTCTCAACGCCTAGTGCCATGGTCGACCTCGTGGTCTCGGCAATGCCAAGTGACAAGTGCGCATGTGCCTTTGTCGCCCCACCGATAGTCCTTGCCAGCGCCCAACAGTAGGCGAATACCAATAGTGCCGAGCGCACAGACCATCATGCTGCCAACAGAGACGTGCACACAGACAGTGCCGCGTGCGCATATCTGATGCCAAGCGCCCAGCAGCAGGCAGATCCAAATTGTATCGCGCGCGCCGACAACAATGCGCGGGCAGACCCTGATGCTCAAGATAAAGTTGTTGCCAACGGACTTGTTTCTACCTTGTAAAAGACTAAGTCATTTTCATTGTAAATATAGATTAGTTTTACTTCATTTATGTTCAGTGTGCTCCTACAGCTTTTACAGGTCAAGTCATATAACTTTGATTTATTTTTTTTAGTATTATTATGGGGGATCAAACAATCAAACTTTCTAGCAAACAAACAATTCTCTGTACTGGTGTCTCTCCCCCTCGATACCGCGTTGCTTTTCTGTAATAACTTTCATTAATGCAATCAAACTTTCTTTCAATTCTCATTTCTGTTCTCTCAATTGCTCTCGACATTGGTTTTCCTGTACGACACTGACAATCTCGTCTAGCGTACGGAGAGGGACCTCAGTTGGCGGATAGCAACTACACTAATATCAGTTGCTTAGCCTTACATCGCCCTTCCAAGTAATCTCAGGAAGGCGCCGTGTAACAGTACTCATGATACCATTATTATACAAGTATTATTACATATACTTGCTAATAAATTACATAAAAATACATATGAATCATCAAGATACTACTATGATACTAGAATCATACCATATATAATATATGTAATAACCTACACAAAAAATATATCTGAAGCATCAAGATACAATTATTATACCATATATAAGACCTCCAAATAATATACACAAAAGTACATGAAATATCAAAACACTACCATTTTAGACAAGTAATACTCTTTTCTGTGTTCTAATTATAGAATACAAGTATCTTGAATATAATGGATTGAGACCTGGGCAGTATTTCTATTTCAGTTACAGAATTTAATATTTTAGAACAAAAGTATAGGAAGTTAATTATTTGCGGTTGTACTTGCGTAATTCATTACTTTTATTTAGTAGAAGCTTTTATGATATGTTAATATTTAGTTGCCAAAAATGTTAATTAATGAATCATGCTAAGATTTTGTAAAAAAATTGTAAATATACAATGTTATGTTTTTTTGACGTTTCGCCGTTCGGATTGGATTGTTTGAATTTTTGGTTTTCGGATTGAACAAAATGACAATCCAAATACATTCCAAATAAGTGCAAATTTTTTTAAATTTGATTTCGGATTAATCGGTTTGGATATTTTCGATTTTCGATTTTGAGCTTATAAGTTGATGAATATCCAAATGTATATAAGGTTTGGATAGATTGTATCATTTACTATCGTTTCATGATGTCATGCACTAACAATACGAATAACAAACTTACAACATTACTAAGAAAATATAGGATGCAAAGTAGAATTATTATATAAATAAGTAGAATAAAGTATAAAATATGATTATTTAATAATAAAGAAGGGCAAGATGAGAAAAAAAAGTAAGAAAACGATGCCACCATACTAAATACATTGTTCCATAAAGTGACACTTTTTATTGTTACGTAAAGAGACTTAACGATATGATACAATAAATTTTAATTAAATATTAAAATAAATATTATATTTAAAGTAATATGATACAATAGTATACGTAACAACTTGTTACCAATTTACTTCACAAAATTGACATTCCCGCCAAACCTATATATATGTTGCCCACACCACTCCACTCTGAAGCAAATTCTTAAATGATTTACAGAACCATAGCATCCATAGCTCAAAGAGACAGAAGCTTCTTCGTAAGCCTAATAAACCAAGCCACCACACTCTCACACCTCAATCAAACTCACGCCCATTTAATCCGCCATAGCCTAAGCACTGATCTCATTACAATCACAAAACTCACTCACAAACTTTTTGACTTTAAAGCCATTTCTAAAGCCAAGAATGTATTCACCACCTTTAATAAAACTAACCCACCTGATCTTTTTCTTTATAATGTCCTCATTAGAGGCTACTCAAAAAACAATTTGCCTTTTGAATCTTTACAACTTTATTTACAACTTATCAAGAATACAAGACTTAGACCCGATAATTTTACGTTTGCGTTTGTTGTTTCAGCTTTTTCTTCATCTGGGTATGAAAAAGTTGGGATTTTGATTCATGGGCATGTGTTAGTTTGTGGATTTAGTAACGATGTGTTTGTTGGGTCGGCTTTAGTGGGTATGTATATGAATTTTTCAAGAATTGGTCATGCGTATAAGGTGTTCGATGAAATTACTGAACGAGATGGTGTTTTGTGGAATACAATGGTTTCTGGGTTGGTGAAGAATTGCTGTTTTGAGGAGAGTATTCGGGTTTTTGGCGATATGGTTGCAAGAGGGATGAGGTTTGATTCTACAACGTTGGCTGTGGTACTTACGGCTGTTGCTGAGTTGCAGGAGTTGAGGAATGGAATGTTGATACATTGTTTGGTTGTCAAAATGGGTTATCATAGTCATGAGTATGTTCTTACTGGTTTAATTTCTTTGTATTCCAAATGTGGTGATGTATCCGCGGCTAAATTGTTCTTTGGGATGATAAGAGAGCCAGATTTGATCTCGTGTAATGCAATGATTGCTGGTTTCTGTTTTAATAATGAGAATGAATCTTCGGTGAGGTTATTTAGAGAATTGCTTGTTCAGGGGGAGATAGTTAATTCAAGTACCATTGTTGGTTTAATTCCTGTTTCTTGTCCTTTCGGTCGTCTGAACCTCACATGTTCTATCCATGGTTTTTGTGTGAAATCTGGGATGGTCTCGAATCCTTCAGTTTCTACTGCTTTGACTACAGTCTACAGCCGACTCAATGAAATGGAATTGGCGCGGAGGCTGTTTGATGAGTCCCCACAAAAAAGCTTAGCATCGTGGAATGCCATGATATCAGGTTACGCCCAAAATGGGTTGACAGAAATGGCTATATCTCTCTTTCAGGAAATGCAGAAGTTGGATATCCATCCAAATCCTGTCACAATCACGAGTATACTTTCTGCATGTGCTCAACTTGGAGCATTAAGTATGGGAAAATGGGTCCATGACTTAATAAAGAAAGAGAAATTTGAGTCAAACATTTATGTATTAACGGCTTTAGTTGACATGTATGCAAAGTGTGGGAACATTGAGGAGGCGCGGCAAGTATTTGACAGCATTGTGGAGAAAAATGTGGTTACTTGGAATGCCATGATTTCAGCTTATGGTCTCCATGGATGTGGTCGAGAAGCACTGGTGTTGTTTGATCAAATGCTTGATTCTGGAGTTTCCCCAACTGGCGTCACTTTCCTTTGTGTCTTGTATGCTTGTAGTCATACCGGCTTAGTAGAAGAAGGTGAGAAATTATTCCACTCTATGATTCATGATCTTGGCATTGAACCTTTATCTGAACATTATGCCTGCATGGTGGACCTTTTGGGCCGAGCTGGAAAACTAGAAAATGCGTTGGAATTTATTTATAGGATGCCTCTTGAGCCAGGTGCAGCCGAGTGGGGTGCATTACTCGGGGCATGCATGGTCCACAAAAATATGGATTTGGCTCGCTTGGCCTCGGGTAAGTTATTTGCGTTGGACATGGGAAGTGTTGGATACTATGTTTTACTTTCAAACATCTACTCAGCAGATCGTAATTATTTTCAAGCTGCTTCAGTTAGGAAAGTTCTTAAGAACAAGAATTTAGCAAAGACCCCTGGGTGCACTTTAATTGAGGTTAATGGACACCAGCATGTCTTTACATCCAGCGACGAGTCACATCCTCAAGCAGCGGCTATTTATGCAAAGCTGGAGGAGCTGATGGAAAAGATGAGGGAAGCTGGATTTCACGCTGAGACCAGCACAGCGTTGCATGATGTTGAAGAAGAAGAGAAGGAGTTGATGGTCAAAGTTCATAGTGAGAAGTTAGCTATTGCTTTTGGGCTTTTAACATCTGAACCTGGAACTGAAATCAGAATCATCAAGAACCTAAGGGTTTGTGTGGATTGCCATAATTTCACCAAGTTTGTCTCCAAGGTTACGGACAGAGTTATTGTTGTAAGGGATGCCAACAGGTTTCATCATTTCAAAGATGGGGAGTGTTCCTGTGGAGATTATTGGTAAAAAGGACTTTTTACTGCCAAGGATGTTTAGTCAGCTTTTTAGGAGCAATATGGAGGTTAATGGAGCCAGTTTGTGTTTACCTTGTGCGTAGATCCGATTCTTATAGGAACAATGACAAGAGGATAGCTCAATCACTTGTTGCACATGCAATGTCAAAGGTTCAAGTTTATCGATGCCATTATTTGCTGTTTATTTGAAGTACGCTACACGGTTTGGCTCATAAGAAAAGTTTAACCGGAAGGAATCTTTTGCTTGTAATGCAGTTTAGTGAAGAGTGTAATTTCTTCTTTGGTCATGAAAACTGGTTGTTTTCAGTGGCTTACATGATTTTAGTTTGTCTGGGCAAAATCAATAAATATCATCATACGTCGCAGATTTTATCCTTACATTAAGACAGCACTTGAATTTGCAAGAACAGCAGTCTTTCATTTCTTTTTCCTTCCACCCCTTTGTTAGCTTTCGAGTTATATTGATGAAATATAATCCATACAAATGTATATAAGAGCAGGATATCAACTGAAAGTTACTTTGGATCAAATAGGCATAACTAGGTTGAGCTCTTATACACATTTTCCTTACTCATATGATATCCCATTTCTCTTAATCTTATTTTTCCAAGTTGTCCTAAACCTGTGGTGCACAGGAAGTTGCTGAGGAGTCTATCTGCTTGAATTCGCAGAAGATTTGGCGAGAAAGGTTGCATAAATTTCTCAGAGAACAGGCTCTTTAGGTACTAAATCCTCTCAAAACCTAAAGAAGTACCACTCATCTACTTTTATTTCATTCGCTAACATGCATCTTCAAGTGCCAAGTGTTATCTTCTTGGAAATTATATTCACTTAACTCTTTTAAGATAGGATGAGGGTATTCGGCACATTCAAATTCTTCATTCATTAGGACTTCCCTCGGATATTGCACTGCATATTTGTTCATTAAGTTCACAAATTTATTAGCTAAAAGTTCTATCAAAACTCATAGTTGGTCACTTAAGTGGGAAAAAACTTAGCAGATTGTTCAAATACTTTCATTTAGCCATATGCAAAATCGAGTACAATTTGTACACTAAACAAAACTTCTCACACTAGGTTTATTCTTTTGTTTGCATACTCCACTTTGAGGGATGTGCTCCGAAGAGAAGTATGAGCAAGCACGTCAGCAGTTAAGTCCACATTGCTTGACATCTGGTCCCTTGGTTTTGAGCACAAATGGATCAATTCGAACCCACAGCAAGGAAAAGATGGAGGCTAAAAGTATTGACCATATGACGACAATGGTTGGGGTCCTGTTCTGCCTACCCATAAGACCCTTGAGGAATGGATATAAATGAACAATGACCCAAAAAGCAAAGAAAAGCTTTCCGAACAGGGGACCCCACGATTGGTATCCGTTGTTGATGGCATCAGAGATTCCGGCTACAACCCCAACCAAGTTGATTATGAGAATCGTCGTTGGAGGAATAAGGAGAGTAGTCCACTTGAAGGCATATAGCTCTCCAAAGTTGTCATCATCTGTTGCCTTAGATGTCACAGTAAAGTTGGTATCTATGCCAGCCAAAATCTTGAGAAGACCTTGCACTACTGCAAAAAGGTGGGCAGATATCCCTCCAATCACCCAAAATTGCTCATTTCTCCACCATTCCTCAATGCTTACTCCACTCCACCTTAGCTCGAGAATTCCCGTTGCAAAGATTGAGAGGAAAAGAGCGATGAAAAAGAGACTTGCAAAGGTGCTTATCTGCATCAATGAATTTAAGTTCAAGTCAACTGAATAACTCAGAAAGCAAGTAAGCTTGTGACATAAGTAGCTACTTAGTTGCAACTGGTGCTAGAAGCATTCCTAATTTTCACTTATGGCCTTTAAGAAAAAAAATCGCATCCTTACCTCTGGCATTATGAATTTTCCAGTGAGCAAGCAGACAGCAGGGAGAGTACAGTAGGCAAGGAGAGGTAAGGAAGTGAAGGGGTAAACGGTTGTGTTAACATATGATAATCGTTCAAGCCACTTAAGTTTTCCCCCCTTGTGGCCATACCAAACTGGGCTGTGACGACTGAAAAAGATCTCAACGGAACCAAGAGCCCATCGAAGCACCTGGTTGAGACGATCTGACAGGTTGATGGGAGCAGACCCCTTAAACGCAGCTACTTTAGGCATACAGTAAACTGATCTCCAACCACGGCAGTGCATCTTGAAACCTGTTAAGATATCCTCTGTGATAGAGCCATAAATCCAACCCAGCTGCAAGTTGAAAAGCAGTTTCAACCAATCAAATGAGATATTCAGAAATGTTATTACATTAGAGGTGGATTATGATTCTTTATATATCTCAAGCTAGCTGCATATGTTACTGGTACAGAAAATTTTAAGCATTCATATCCTCTTTAATTCAAAAACTGAAATATGCTTGTATCCATGCAATAGCATATTTTCTCTAACCACAGTTTCTTTTCGTTAGTTTTAGTTTGCTAAAGAGTTTCTTGAATGTAATAGTCGAGCTATTAGAAGTACATCACACCACTTATTGATAATATTACCTCCAAACCCCATTCTGTTTTGTCTTCATAGCCACAGCTGATCACATGGATTGCTTCCTTTAGCAAGGCTGCTGGGCTCGATGAAGGAGGGACCCCACCTTCAATCATTAAAGTTGAAGTCACAAAAATTGCTGACTGGCCAAATTTCTTTTCAAAATTCATCTGGGACATTAATAGCTCTTTGTCATCGTCAAATCCTGAGGAGAAAAAAGAAAAAGAAAATAAGGGAAAAAATAATCTCAAGAGGATCTTATTAAACAAGCTGCTTAGGTTATCTTGAAAGTTGAAACATAAAATTTTAGTAATATGACCTTGAGCATTTGCTGCATCTCCATTGACTTCACATTTATAACTATCAAGCTTCTTTTTGCGTCCGAAACATGGGCAACAGTCACAGCTGACCATTCTTGGACGCTTGGCACGTTTAGGAGGATTGTAGCCATATAAAGCCTGCCTTCTGAATACACATCCTGTGCCAACATATACTGGACCTTGTATTCCGTCTAGGCCTTTCATGTTAATCTGCCCAAGTAATAGAAATAAGATCACGGTAAAGCTAATCTCAAATAAGTTAAAGAAATTGACCATCACTTTATATGTTTGCTATATTAAGTATTGTCTGTAAAACATCTTCTCAATTCTAATGTATATAATTTTTTGGTAGTGGCCTTATGTGGCATATTTTGCTGGATCTTACATCAAAGAAGACTGTGTTTCGGTTGGCATATCTATCGTGCCTGTCTATTCCATCAAATCTTTGAGGAAACTGGACGAAGCAAACTTTTTTGCCCATTTGTGGGTCCATTAAGAAGCACATGGCTTCTCTGGCAGCCTTGCTGTTGTTAAGGTAGTGATCACAGTCCAAGTTAAGCATAAATGGTGCATTGGTAAGAACTCCTGAAACACGAACCTGCAATGTTCACATTGAGAAAATATTCTGTCATTTCTGCAAAATTTCTTGTCAAAATATCTGATGTAATGTGCATAATGTTTCTAAATAGATGTGTAACAATTTTGACTTGTCAGTATGTTTACCAGGGCATTCATAGCACCAGCCTTTTTGTGATGCTGGAAACCAGGCCTTTTTTCACGAGAAACATAAACAAGACGAGGGAGTTCATTTCCTTCCACGTCAGTTCCTCCACTTTGGCCTAAAAAGACTTGAATCATACCGGGATGGTCCCTTGTATTATTTCCCGGCCATGGTGTTCCATCTTGCATGATCCACCCTCCCGGAGGCATTTTAGTTGCTTTGGCAACTAGTGCATTGATTCTTACCTTGAATTCTTCATACTCTCTCTGTCAAGTACAATAACGTTTGTGATTTCGTGACTTGGGAAAGTTTTATATTAGCACTAAGCTGCAGATGAAATCGAGAGTTCAAGCTATACCTTCATTGCTCGTCTCTCCTTAACGAATGTTGGCTGGACTTTGTCCTTGAGATAATCGATTTTTTGAGAGAAGTAAAACTCTGGTGCTCGAGGCTCTATAGCAAACTTCTTGCAGAAGGGTACCCATTTTCTAGCAAATTCTGCAGTTTCTGATAGTGCTTCGAAGGTGCACATTGAAGCTCCATCATCAGATAGGTAGCATGAAGTTTTGTCAACAGGGTAATCCATTGCTAATATTGAGAGGATAGTATTAGCCGTAACAAGAGGAGGTTCCTTCATAGGATCCACTGTACTGACAAATATATCGACGGGGGCTAGCATGTTTGGTTCTCCTTCCCTCTCATACCTACATAAAAATAAATTGTGAAATATGTATTTCTCTAGTGGTAAAGTTTGTTAGAACTTTTAAGAAGCAACTCGGAAAATGATTTGACTTGTAACTGTGAAAATTATAATCTCATTCAGATTAGATTGCAAATATGATTTGTCATAGTTTCTCTTCTAGTAAGTTTTGCCTGAATGCTAAGCTCTTCCTCTTCCGTGGAACTTTAATGTGGTTCCGTTAGTATCTAATACATTGTACTTAGGGTATGGCATATTTTTGCGAAAACAAGGGGCACACATCGGCAATACTCAATTGGTTTTATGTCCGTGCTTAAGCAGGACAATAGACTTGCAAAGATTTGTCACCTGAGAGAGAGACGATCAAGGTAAGTCTCACGGTCGATTGGGAACCATTTGGGGAACTGATCAAGGATCCAAGAGAAGGCAAACCAGATCTCACAGATGATAGAAGTTAGCCAGAGACCAATCGCGTCATGCACTGGATTCAGAATTCTGTAACGAAGGAAGATGGCCAGAATAAACAGCCTAGCCACAATCACCATCCGGTAAGGATTTATCTTGCTTGATGCTATTGGCACTTTTCTTGACAAAGGCTGTCTTGCTTCATCCACCCTGCATTTTCACATTGATTAGCTGAGAGTATGTTGCAGTTTCTGTTAGCTAATTTTAAGCATTGAACTGATGGATTTGAGAAGAAATCACTGCAATCTAGTGAACCGGATATGCGTTATCAACTAATAATCTACAAGACTAGATATACCAGAATTTTTTAGCGACTATAGATTTCTATACATCTATAAATGCCTTCTCATTTCAGCTAATTCATTCTTACTCCTACTGGCATGAACTTGTTATATGTAATCCTTTCACTTCCATTCATGTGAATGTGATTGAGAAAGAAGGGAGTGATTTTAAATAGTCAAATGCTAGTATATCTATCTCCAACCACAGGAAATAACCAAGACACAACCGAGATGCAGAGACGGAGCTAGAAGTTCGAGTACGGGTTCGGCCAAACCCAGTAGCTTTTGCTTAAATAGTGTATTTGTGTTAAAAGAAATTAGAACCCAGTTATTAGCACTTCAAGCGTTTCAAAATCCAGAACCCATAAAGTTGAAATCTTGGCTCCGCCTTTGCCTAGATGTGAGCATTTTGCATCGTGTAATTCCCATGCCTCAGTGTTATGGTTCAAGATATGTATTTGCATAATGTTTTCATGTTAAAGTTCAATGTTAACTACTTACATGGCCATATCAGGGTCAGCATAGTCATCATAGTCTTGCCCCAGATTTCCTTGCTGCAATTTCCAATCATCCATTCTTTCTTTCCACCCTCCCTCTTTCTTATCATCCCATCTTGCACTTTCAGGTTCGGAAGCTGGATACGGATGTATCCTTTTGTGAAGGGAAGATCCCAAAATCTGCTCTCCGTTTGCATGACTTGATATCGGGAATTCACCACTAACCTGTATCCATGAAATGCATTCTTATCCAAGGTATTCAAAATTTTCTCTTATCTTAGAAATTCTTGGACTGAGATTTTAATATTCATACCGGATGTGAGCGGATTCCAGCAATGACAGGAGGGTACTGAGCGGAATCTTCATCTTCTGGTCCTCTTCCATAGGTCATCTTACCATGGAGAATGGTCTCAACAATATTTCTATTCTTGTTTTGCTCGTCATCAATTTTGAATTCGTGTTCAATATCGTCAATATCTTCCTCATCTTCATCTCCCGCCACCCTTGGACTCCCTTCAAGACATCAAATACAATTTAAAACAAAAATTAAATAACACGAACAATTAACCAGAACAAGTTTGCATGGATGTGAATGTTTTATTCATCAAGATGTATATGTATATACCTTTGAGACGTTTGTATCTGGTCTTGCACTGTGGACACTGTTGAGTTCCTTCCCTTCTCTCATACTCGTAGCACGGCCGGCACACAGGGAAACCACACTCATTGCAGGCCACAAAGAGATCACCATCCACTGTTAGTCCTATTTCATCCCCACATATCTCACAAACTTGTCCACTCAAATCCTTCAATGGCTTATGCTGCACCAAATATAGGACAAGAAAGAAAGTTAGAATCGAACGAAAGAGAAAAGCAAAGGCATCTTTTCCTTCTCTATATTTCATATTGAACATAAAGATATAACTTAAATGTAACATTGTGAGGGGTCGTTTGGTACAATGGTGGGATATCTTTGGATATCCCATGAGATTAGCTATCCCATCTTTTGTATGGGAAAACTAATCCCACCATTTTCGTGTAAAAGTTGTCCCGGGATTAGCTAATATCCAAAACCAAACATGGGACAAAATTAATCCCAATTCTATCCCGAGATTATTATCCTTATCCCATGTACCAAACGACCCCTAAGATTACTTCTATGCATGCAGTTCAATGTTAACTTTGGACATTCCAAAAGAATGTTCCAAAGACATAATTACCTCTTCATGGCCATGAATGACGACGAGCTCGTTCCGGTTATGCGAACCAGCGACAAGACCGGCACTGGCTTCCATGGCAGAGGGAGGTGGTGGATATGATTCTAGTGAGAAATGGAGGGTGATGACAATGGTATATATGGTTTAAAGTTTACTTTTTAAATGAAAGAAAGAATGATGGAAGGTAAACATTAGTAGTACTAGTGTCATTTTCTATGTATCTTTCTTGTACCTAATATATGTCCATTCTATGGAAGATGTGTTGGTTGCAGAGTCTTCATTGCCTTTAAGCTAAGCTTCCTCAGTTTTTCAACAACCATGCATATTCTTTTTCTCTGTCTCCAACAGAATTTGCTAGTATGGCCAGCTTCTTTGCTTAAGCTTTTCCTTTGGTTGGTTATTTTTGTCAAATTAGCCCCACTATTTTTCTTATAATGTGTAATGGTCCTTTACTTTTGAGAATTACTACTACGAATGTTCAATTTCAGATATGGCTTTTATTCAAATCATGATTAGTATAAAAAAGTTTTCTACTCTCTCTCTCTCTCTCTCTCTCTCTCTCACACACACACACACACACACACACATCAACAGATTTGCTAGTATGTCAGCTCTTTGCTTAAGCTTTTCCTTTGGTTGGTTGTATTTTCATGTTAGTCCCAAGGTTTTTCTTACATTGTATGAATGGTCCTTTACTTTTAAGAAATTACTATTGTGAATTATTAAATTTCAGATTTGGCTTTTATGCAAATTATGATTAGGATAAAAGATTTTACTTATTAGTAAGTCAAATTTCTTTCAACTGAAAAGCACATATTAATTTCTAATTTGGAAAGTAATTTATTGATTGGAATCTAGTTTTTTTTTCTTTCTTGTCGTTAAAAGAAGCTTTTTTATGATAATTGTTTTTAGAAGTGGAATATATAAGAAAACAGCATAAGTTTTTTAAAGGAGAAAGTCAACGTTATAAATAACAGTGGGAAAGAAACCGAAAAACTGAAGTTTTTATATAAGTATTTTTATACTGAATAACTTTATAACTCAAATTGTATCCAACGATACCTTACAGCTTATCTGAAACTTATCACATTCGACGATGTGATGCTAACAGATTAAAATCATATTTAACTTGTTAAAAAAAAAAAAAACAGGTAACCCAAATATTTAGTAATTGTTAAATAAAATAAATTGCAAATGAAAAATTATCGGTAAGAAATAACTGTATATCACCCTATTATCGATGAGATAACCAAGAATTGACATACTTTGGACCTTGACTTTGGTTTTTTTTTTTTTTTTTTTTTTTTTT